AAAAATCTCGCATCTGCGAAAAGGGGCTGCCAGGCGAGGTTTCTCATCTGCGGAGGAAAAATGTGCATCTGCGCAAAGAGGCCGCACCTGCGAAGACCGCATCTGCGCTGGTGGTCTCGCTTCTGTGAGCTCGCACCTGCGGTCAAAATTCCGCAGGTGCGATTACACCGGAACCCAAAATTTCAGATTTTGCTTAAATCCAATTCTTGTTCTAATTTCGATCCGTTTCACTCTCGGGGTACTCGGGACCCCGTTCGAATATACCAACAAGTCCCGTAATATAATACGAACTAACTCGGTGTCTAAAATCACGTCAAACAACACTGAAATTACAATTCACACCCGATTTGAACTTTGAGTTTTAAACTTTCAATTTGCAAATCTCGTGCCAAAACATATTAAATGAATCTGGAATGACTTCAAATTTGGCACACAAGTTACAAATGACATAACGGAGCTGTTCAAATTTTCAGAATCTGATTCCGGCTCCGATATCAAAAAGTCAACCCCGTGGTCAAATTTAGAATATTTAGCCTTGAAATTGCTAGTTTCGTTAAATGGTCATAACTAGAGCTAGGGACCTCCAAATTAAATTCCGGGCATACACCAAGTCCCAAATAACGATACGGAGCTACCGGAACTGTCAAAATACTGATCTGGGTCGGTTTGCTCAAAATGTTGACCAAAGTCAACTTAGTTGAGTTTTAAAGCTCTATTTCACATTTTAATTCATTTTTTACATGAAAACCTTCCGAAAAAGTTTACGGACTACGCACGCAAGTCGAGGAATGATAAATGGTGCTTTTCGAGGTCTTAGAACACAACATTACTTATTAAATTTAAAGATGATATTTGGATCATCACAGAACTTAAACAAGCCTCACGACAATGGTATATAAAGTTTAATGATACCATAACATCTTTTGGATTTGTGGAAAATACCGTTGATCGGTGTATATACCAAAGGATCAGTGGGAGCAAGTTTATATTTTTAGTCCTATATGTTGATGATATTCTACTTGCTGCTAATGATTTAGGCATATTGCGTGAGACTAAAGATTTTCTCTCTAAGAATTTTGAAATGAACTATATGGGTGAGGCATCCTATGTGATAGGAATAGAAATATTCCGTGATAGATCACAAGGATTATTTGGGATTGTATCAGAAAGGCTATATCTAAAGAATTCTAGAGAGATTTAATATGAATAATTGTTCAGCAGAAATTGTTCCAATTCAAAAAGGGGACAAATTTAGTCTCATGTAATGCCCTAAGAATGATGTAGAACGAAAGGAAATGGAATCAATTCCTTACTCTTCAATTGTTGGTAGTCTGATATATGCTCAGACTTGCACAAGACCGAATATTAGTTTTGCGGTCGGAATGCTAGGAAGATATCGGAGTAACCCATGAATTGTTCACTGAAAAGCTGCAAAAAAAGTTTTGAGGTACCTGAAAGGAACGAAGGATTACATGCTCATGTATAGGAGATCCAAGCATTTGGAAGTTCTTGGATACTCGGATTCATATTTCGCTGGATATATTGACACTAGAAAATCCACGTTTGGTTATTTGTTCCAATTAGCTGAAGGAGCAATATCGTGGAAGAGTGCCAAACAGTCTGTCATTGCTACATCCACGATGGAAGCAGAATTTGTGGCATGTTTTGAAGCCACAATTCATGCATTATGGCTGTGAAACGTTATTTCAGGACTTGGGGTTGTCGACACCATTACCAAGCCGCTGAAAATTTACTGTGATAATTCTGCAGCAGTATTCCTCTCCAAGAATGATAAGTACTCCAAATGTGCCAAGCATATGGAATTAAAGTACTTTACCGTCAAGGAGGAAGTTCAGAAATAAAGAGTGTCACTTAAGCATATTAGAACTGATCTCATGATTGCAGATCCGTTAACGAAAGGTTTACAGCCAAAGACATTTAAGGAACATGTACATAGAATGGGTCTTGGTTGTATTTATAATTGATGTATTTATGATTTTTGACACTCTGAGCTCATTTACGTATTTCTGATATACATTAATGATTTCATGTTTCTCATAATGGTGTACATATTATTGTTTTGAGATGTTGCAGGATAAGTCTCAATGAGACATTATTGTGGACCATAATATTTTATAGCTTATGAACCTGATATGATAAATTACTAATATTGTAGTATATGGAAGGGAGTATGTAGACAAATTATATATAACCGCCATAACTCACATTTACTAGTTTATCGTATTGTGGGATTTATTGTGGACATTATAGAAGAGATTTGTTTATGCGCAACTAATGTTCCTATATTAAATATTAATATTATGTGATTATTGGGCCAAATAAGTTTAAGGCCCATATTTAATATTTAATTAATGAGCAAATCTCATCCGTCCGATCGGTTACTCGTTGGACGTACCTGATTAAATGAGAACCTCTATAAATTGGTCCTTTCCCCACCCATTAGGGTTACTGTATTTTATTTTCTCTCTTCTATCACTAAAGTCGGCGGTAACGAAAGCTAGGGCAAGAGGCGAGAAACCAATTCGAATTAACGCTTCCGCTTCACGATGATGTCTTACGATTCAGGTATGTTTTCTGTACGATTTTGTGTAAGATTATCATGTCCAAGATCCTGGTATACAATTAAAGTTTATGTTTACAGGTCACTCAGGTATGGAGGCAACATCGAAGAGGATCTTGACATTGTTTTACTGGAAAGGCATAAGAGAGGATGTAAAACTCTTTGTCCAGAAGTGTGACTTTTGTCAAAGAAACAAGGCTAACTTAGCTGCTTATCCTGGTCTCTTACAACCTCTCTCAATCCCTGAGGTAGTATGGTCCCAAATCTACATAGACTTCATTGATGGACTACCTAAGTCCAAGGGGTATGAGGTAATACTAGTCATAGTAGACATGCTGAGTAAGTATGACCACTTTATCCCTCTTAAACACCCTTATACTGCTCAATCTATAGCTAAGATGTTTATGGAAGTCATCTACAGACTTCATGGTCTGCCAGATTCCATTGTCAGTGATAGGTATATAGTATTCTTAAGTTCTTTTTGGCAGGAGCTACTCACAATACAAGGAGTCCAACTACACACCTCATCAGCTTATCATCCATAAACTGATAGGCAAACTAAGATTTTGAATAGATGCCTAAAGACATATTTGACATGCTTATGTTCGAAGGAGGCTACTAATTGGCATTCTTACTTATATATGGCTGAGTATTGGTACAATACTTCATTTCATTCGGCCATAAGAACTATACCTTATAAGGCCCTTTATGGAAGACCACCTCCTCTGCACTTACTTTATCTGCTAGGTGAATTAGCTTTAGCTGATGTAGACAACACCCTGATCAACAAAGAATTGAAACTACAACTATTGCAATACCATTTGCTAAGAGCTTAGTTAAGGATGAAGCAACATGCTGATTTTCATAGGAGTGATAAAAGTTTTGAAGCAGGTAATTGGGTTTACTTCAAGACTCAACCATACATACAAGTGAGCATTACTACCCAACCATTCCATAAATTGGCTGCTAAATATTATAGACCATTTCAGATTATCAAGAAGGTGGGAGTTGTGGCCTATACTCTCCTATTTCCTTCATCAGTAAAGAAATATCCCATTGTGCATGTGTCATTACTAAAGAAATGCTATGAATTGCCCAAACAAATCACTTATCCTCCTAGTACTGATATTGTCAACCCCCATTGTCCCAATCCAGATTCCATTTTAGAAAGGAGAATGGTAAAAAAGGAAATAAAGTTATGGCTCAAGTCTTAGTTAAGTGGACATGCTTACTTACAGATTATGCTACATGGGATTTTTTTTTTTAATGCACTAAAGATCAGGTTCCCTGATTTTGATCCTTGTGGTCAAGGATCTTCTGCATGAGGGATTATTGATATACAAAATGCAGCATGATTGCAGCCAACTCAAGTTCAGAAGCTCCAACTCAGCAAAATCAGTTAGCAGTTAGTTGAGGCCAGATCAGCTGACAGTTAGTGACAATTAGTGTTAGTTAGGAAGTTAGTTGAAGTTAGTTAGTTAGTTGAGAAATAAGAATCTTCCGGAAGAAAGCCATGTATTCATTTATAAAAGGAGTAAATTGTAACATTTTACAATCATCAATAGAAGTACTACTACAATCTCTCTCAATTCTCTCTTTTCTCTCAATTACAATTTCTTCATCTCATTGCTGAAATTCTCGAGTTTCTCTGCAAAACTCCTAATTCAACTTCTCAATACTCGAATTCATTACCGGATTCCTGCTCAAATTCAGAAGCTCCAGCTCATCAAAATCAGTTAGCAGTTAGTTGAGGCCAAGTGAGTTGACAGTTAGTGATAGGTAGTGTTTGTTAGGAAGTTAGTTAGTTGAAAAATAAGAATCTTCCGAAAGAAAATCATGTATTCATTCGTAAAAGGATTACATTGTAACTTTTTACAATCATCAATAAAAGTACTTCTACAATCTCTCTCAATTCTCTCTTTTCTCTCAATTACAATTTCTTCATCTCATAGCTGAAATTCTCAGAGTTTCTCCGCTAAACTCCTAATTCAGCTGCTCAATACTCTGAATTCATTACTGGATTCCTGCAATTGAGATATCACTCAATGGAGAAGAAATGATTTATTTAAAACTTTAGAAAATTTCGTGACTGTTTATATAGGGGAGAATATTTTACTCTTGTTTCAATTAAGAACATCTTGAATAGAAACCAGCAAATAGAAAAGGCCTTGAAAGTGGAAATTGAACAAATATATTTCTTTTATATTGTTTTTGATTCCTAATTTCAGTACATTTTTCTCCATATTAACAACAATATCACGTACCTGTAATACGATTGCACTGCAAACAGGTTATTTCCTCTATAAAATAATCGATACTGTTATTCAAGATATGCAGTTAAAGATGAGGTCAAGAATAATTGCTTGTAAAATTGTGATTATGATGTGTCTACATCCCTTCATGGAGTTGGCTCACATGATTGCTTACTGTAAATTCTATATAAATGAGTAACTAATCATTGATTCATTGTTTTTCATACACAAGAATTCAATCCTTGGCAAGAAACTATAAATCCTTAAACTTATTTAGACAAGCAGGTTAGTAAAGAACAACAAATTGGCCTCTCCATAACCTCAGTTACAGACTTGGAGGCAGCAGAGGACAATCCTAATACCTGTAAGAAATCAGAAAATGCTATACAAGCGAGAATTAGATATTGATCCTCATCTTGAGATTGAAGCAAGCGGGTCATAATTCACTTCCAGATTCTCGGATTTGAGATTGAATTTCCACGATCAGAACCAGAAACGTCAGCGCCTTCATTAGGTGTTGGTAGGTGAAACTTATTTGTGACTATCTTCAGGCAGATTTGAAGGACAAGGCAACTCCGGCCTGACATCTGTTATAAGCTTACTTAGATCCAACTCCAGTTTCTTCATAGAAGAATTCATTCTATGGAGTTGGTCCTTGATATTAGCTTGTACCGCTGCAGGTGAAAGCAAGTCTGGCTTTTCAAGAAGTTTAACAGCAGAGTTGGCAGCAACGTCAATCTAACAACAGACACATAAACAAAAATGAGCAAAGCGTTTGCAGCGTAAGAATCTCATATTGTTTTGAAATGAAATTTGGAACATTACTAAGATATTAAGCGACTACTACTACTGATCCAGCAACATCCAAATTCCTTTTTTATTTTTTTGAAAAAGAAAAAGTGCAACATCCAAATTACTAACTTCCACAAAGGCTGAATAAGAACTCTGACAGAACTGTGGGTGCCATTGTTAGAACAAGCTTACAATAGTGGAGGAAACAAATATGATAGCAGCTCACAAAGAGTTAACCGGAACAATTAATCTTAACCGCAATCTGTGCCCTGTAGGACCGTGATCCAGATTCAGCAGATATCACAGGGGGCATAAACAGAAAAATGCTATAGGAGAGGACCAGACAAATATATCACGCATCGTGGCATCTGGTTAATTATTCAGGCAGCACCAGATATCACTATCCTTCTTTTGTTTATTTCATGAAATTGAAAGAAAACAACCTATCAAGTCCAAAGCTAGAGGTAAAATGGAAATGATTTTCCCATGCTCTCAACTTTCCCTGTATTTCTGAATGTAGTTCCATAATTGGTAGGTGGTCACAACCAAAATTATTCACATGCCCTAGCTGCTGGAAACGATCTAAAACTGGTCATCAGATTGAATGTCTGGCTAATTCCAAATCACTCTTGCAAACAGATGACCTCACGCACGGAAGAGGCATAAAGGTGACTAGTCACTCCAAAGAGATCCCTTTGAAACCCCCAAACCTCCTTCCCAATTCCCAATTGAAGTTCACTATTCATTTCTTTCTTTTATATCTGGTAAAACCCGAACCCCAAACCTCCTCAACCTAGAGAATCCCAATCGTGGCCTTTTCCTTGCTCCATTTGTGACTCGTACCCCATTCCTAATGGTTGGAAGTGGAGGGTTCTTACCTATCCTCCCTTTTCAAGTTCCCCATTCATTTCTAGTCCACCTACTTTCCTGAAAAAGAGATCTTTTATACCTAACGCATCATAAGTTGCACATTGCATTTTTTCTCATAGGCTAAACTTTTAAATAATTATTTACAGTTTACCTACTTTTGAGTCCAATTACAATTTGTGATAAGGTAATAATTTTGTAAGTGTGGTGGAAAAGTTCCTGGTAAAGAGTGCACTTAAATTTAAATGCTACAAAGTTTTAGACCTTCCATGAGACTACTGTACGGAATAAACACCATAATTACATCATCAGTTTTCACTTTTTTTGTTACTTTTGGATAATTGGATAATTCCAAATCATTTCATTATGAACTACATCAAAACGCTGTCAGCTTTAAAACATTACAACAGGTATGCCATTTAAATATCAAAAAAGAATCCAATACAAATATCTGAACGACTCCACATTAGTAAACAGGAAGCAAGACCATGCTTAGGGGCTAAACCTTTAAATTATTAAGAAGATATCCTACCCCACTTTTGAGTCCATTCACCTTCACATACCATAATTCTTTTGTCCTTTATTAACTCCATACCCATCCAGAATTGATAGTCGAATTGGATGAAGCCATGAAGGGATCAACAAACTTTTCAGTATTCCCAACTAGAGGAGCAATAAGATAGAAATTTGAAATTGTACTCGCTTTCTATTAACAAACACAAGAAGCAAACCTTTAGAATGAAATGATGGTACAAGTATTTCTTTTTCCAATTATTACAAAAGATGACATATGAACAATGTCCTTGTAATGAAAGGGTAAGGATGTGGTAACTAATAGACCTGACCTCCGTACACTTCTTTACGGGGAGCCAAATGCTTTCACATTTTCATATAACATTTAAAGTACTTTAGAAATGGAATTCAGTCCAATTAAACAAGATTAACTCCAAAAATAGTTTACTGCAAAAGAATTTGGAGAAAAAAGTAAAGAGAAAAGAAAACAATAAGAAAAAAAAAAGGAATTATGAGATAACAGCAAGCCTATTACTACAAAAAGCTAGGTTCTTCCGGAAAATAACAGGCGTAACTTTTCCTTATCTAGTTATCTTTAATGGAAATGCACCAATTTCCTTTCTCTATCTCGACCAATTGGGTGTTTCTCAAAGATAGAAAAGGAAATATCACGAATAAAATAAGAAGAAAAGGCAAAAAGTGAGTAAATTGATGAATCTGGAAGGCAAAAAGGTGAGTACGAAATACAAATTCCAGTGGCAAATTTCATTTACCTCTAAGGACATTATGAAGACAGCAAAGAAAGGGCAGCAAAAGAGTGCCTTTTCTTTGAGTATGCTATTATAAAGATTCTTCTATTGTTTGTTGGTCAGTAATGTGTTTCAATTTAAGAATTTGTTATTAATAGTTGAATAGATCTGTTTACAGCTGCAATACTATGGGGCTTTGTTATTTTTTTTGGATATTTATACACAGTTATAGACACCCCATTTTTTCACCATAACCC